AAAAATATATATATTTATGTACAAATATATAGTAAAGAGCATGAAGCTTAAATCCTTGCATCTATTGTATGAATATTTCTTGGTGTGATGATGCAACTTAAAGATACAAAATATAAATTTCATTAAACAAATTATGTTCACGGAGTACAAGTTCAGAAAACTTTAGAAATATAAGTACAGAAAATTTTATTAAAAATCTAATTAAAGTATCTCTAGGTAAAGTGGGGTAAATAAATATGAATATTTATGTTAAATTTAGATTAGAATGTGCAAAATCTGTAGACTAAAGAATAAACACAGTTCTAGGTTTAAAAAAGGTTTTTAATTTTTTTTCTTTATTTGCATATGATAACATCTCCATCATGAGTCATTACCACATGGCCTGCACTTTGAATATTTGGCCAGTAACTTCGTAATAAAGCTGGCCAAAGTCTGGCTTGTGCATTTTCGGTTTGTCCAGTAACTTTCAGAGCACACTGGCCAAATTGGCCTGTACTATTTCAAACAAAGGTCAAACACTGTCGGCCAAGCGTCTCCTTTTGCCTTTGTCCATTGTTTGGTAAGCTTCGCTATATAAACCGTCGCTGTTAGCTAGTCATAGGGTTTTATATAGGCCACAGTAGCACGTTTCAAGTTGAGCATGTATAGAAAGATTTGCCTATGTCGCCTCGACTCGGATCAATACTAGCTTATGTTAAACGTTTCTCGATAAAGGTGAGTGATGATAGTTTCCAAAATTAAAAGTAATAGGGTGTGTCTGTAAAAGAAATACATTAAATGAGCGCAAAGACGACACACAAGAGTGAGAGGCTGATGACTGTTACTGAAATTGTTACAGCTGCTTATCATAAAAAGTTTCCCCTTCAAATGCCCCGAAGATTTGTAAAGATTTAGGCCTATAGTTTTGAATAGTTGTTGGCATAAGCTTTTCAATCGATCATGTGTGCATATTTAATATACCTCTACATAACCTGTATCAACCACGGTTAAATCAAGCCCTACAGTTGACATTTTACTAAATCGACGATGGTCATTTTGATATAAGGTGGGGGCAAAGTTGATCATCGAGACCAATATTGGTCCCGTCAAACATAGGGTGTCCAAGTCAAGGCATACAGCTACTTGTCTTGAAACTTCACTCTACGGTGGAAAACATGAGAGCATTTTTGTTTTAAAAGAATGGGTTTGAATATTTGTATTTTCAACCATAGTATTCCATAATCAGTGCGTGTAAAAAGATAGTTGGAGAGAGGCGAATTAAGTAGCCTACAGAGGAGAAGTAATATCTTTTACCCTATTAGAAAGTATTTTGTGGTAGTAGAAGTAGTTGTTAACTGTCCAGCTCTCAGTCTTAAATGTTCTTAAAAATTCACATGCATATCTCAGGAGTGTGAGAAAATGTCAAGGCATTTGAAGAGGAATATGCAAAGGCCGGCTGAAACGCCTTTTGATAAAACTTAGTTAAACGTGAGTTGTCAGACAAGAGTTACGTGGTTCACCTTTAATTATTTAAACCCAGTGCTTTTAAGTTAATTGCCCACGTCTTTCATATGCAGCGTTATTTAAAATTACTTCACTGGGTGGGTTTCAAAAATGATTCCATATGAAAGAGACCTCGACATTTATATAGCTACACAAAAGGGGATCGATTAATCGCCTTAGTTGTACATATATGTACAGGCAATTAGGGCGTGTCCATTTGCTGGCCGTATCACATATCCAACGGCACCGTGCCCTGTCACAGCCACAAGTGTGTGGGATTAAATGCTTTTGTTTATTAATTCATCCGCCTTTATTGTGCGTGTTTTTCACTTGAGAGTAGTGATATTTTATGAAAGCCAAAATGACAAGCAAGATTTGCAAGGGCTGTCGGAATCATTGTAATACTAGATACTGTTCTTTATCATGCTAATACAGTGTGTACCAGCGTCACAGAGAAATATATTCACCAGATATTTCCACAGATATTTGTCAAGCTGTGCACATTTCTATTCTGTGACCCTGCCCAAGAAGTCATTATAACTTCTTGCCTTGCAAATGATGAAGACATAGGTCTTTAGTTATAGGGTTGGCCACTGTTACATAACCACATTAGACACTGACGTCTGTTGGTATTGTCCCACTGTTGTCTTGACCCCCTTGCTTGCCCAGCTGTGCCAGACAATACAGAGCCTTGGTGATGAAACACAATACTGATTCAGAATGAGGTTAACTGAGGGAATCCCTTGCAGTACAGTAATGAAATGTGTGGAACATTTCATTTTATAGAATACAACGTAAATAATTAGGACTGAGATAATTAGGAATTTAATTCTAGTACTGGATCTTGCATTGAAATGGAGATCGCGACGTTACGGCCTTATATCGCAAGGTCTTCTTCGAACTGAATTTGAATTATCACCGGTGGCTCGTGGTGGCGTTCTGCCCTAGGAAAAGTTGGAATTATGGTATATATTAAAGATACTTAAGATAGCTTTACCTTCTAAGTTATGAATATGCCTCCTTATTCATTTCAGATCCAGACTACTACATGTATCTATATGAAGTAGAAGAACATCCAAGTGAAATGAGATAAACTGTTGCATTTTAAAAACAGAGAACGAGAATACGACGGAAATCAAAGGGACGGAAAACTTATCATCAGCAGACATGACATTAATTTTTTTTGTAAATGGAGTTAACTAATTTTTCCCCTAATTAGTCAGAGACATTTTACGATCTGGGTCTATGCAAGTGGGATATCGCACACTGCGGACAGTTAGCACCAATCGCGGGAGAATATGGCGACGCGACCACCGCGGATTCATGTAGACCAGCGAAAATGTCTGAGATACTTGATTGTTTCGGTTTCTATACTTTTGCTGTCTCAATTTACAGTAAGTCTCTATTTCACATACGTGAAATCATCGACAGTGACATTTAAAAGGAATTTTGACCCAACATCAAGTGATACACCCTTTGGCATAGTAGGACGATTACTGGTATCTTCTCCTCTTCCATCATCATCTTCATCATCATCATCATCATCACCATTAGCGTCCACCAGTGCCTCTGTATTAACATCCGCCTTGCCATCATCAACATCAACTTCAATACCTTCACCAACAACATCACCGCAATCAATTAAGTCAACTACACCGTTAACCACGACATCAAAACCTCCTGACGCTAAATTGAAGACAGTTAAACCAACTGGAATATCATCATCCACGGCCGGGACAAACTTTACCACGACAGAAGGGCCAAGCACCAGTTGGGACGGAAGGTGTGGGGAGTTGCCTGCAGGACTTGGTGAGTGTTCTCTTTAAGGGACCATCAATGCAATGCAATAGAATGTCAATGCAACTGTCGATCTACTTAAGTCGGTCCAACATCAAGGGGACTTTCGCTGAATGAAATCAGATTAAAGTATCAGCACGCATCCTCATGCCGTTGAGTAGAATGGAAACAAGATGAGGGGTCCTAATCTGGTAATCTGTTTGCATTCAGTGAGAGTCCCGCTGAGTCAATCTACGTAAATCGATTGTTTTATTGAGTATGAGCCCTTGAAGTTTCTATATTATATCTATATTATGTACTAAAAAAGAACATACATGTATAGCGTACACAAAAGAAAAATACGCCAAAACTCATGAATGAAACACTAAGAAAATAAATTGTATGATTTGATTGTCATTACATCTTAATGATGCTATACTTACCAACAGATGTAAACATTGAAACCAACAATATATGTCAGCTAGAAAAAATAATACATTTTCTCACCTGTAGAGGGACGCAGGGTGGTCAACATGATGCCGCCATCTTGGGAAGACCTGCACCAAAAATTCAGTGGTACTAGTAGCGGCATTCTTCCTGGCGGACGCTGGAAGCCTAAAGACTGCGTTCCACGGACCCATGTGGCAATAATTATTCCGTTCAGAGAGCGCTACGAACAGTTACGGGTATTTCTTAACAACATGCATCCACTTCTCCAGAAACAACAGTTGAATTACGGAATATATATAATTGATCAGGTTGGTCCGGTAGCTTCTTTTATAAATTTTATTCTTTTATAAATCTTATTAATTTTAAAATTAATTCTTTTATAACTTTTATAAATTGGTCTTGAAAACATCACTACATTTTTTAGTAATCACATTATTATATAGAAATAGTGTATTTGCCTTTTTGGTGAAATAAAAGTGAAAGGTGAAGAGGACGTATCCCCGAGTCTAGACCAAATATTATTATCATTTTATTGCTTCGTACTAAAAATGCCTTTCGAGTTTGCAAACTTGATTTTGTACTGAGGGATATCAGTTAAATTGGCATGTTAATCTCAGAGTACTTTTTCTTTTAAATGTGACCGATAAGACGACACTTGGAAAAGGTAAAAGCCATCATTTTACAAATGTGAGAAAACTACGATGTGAATGAAAAAAATCGCTTTATCTTTGACTCCAGTTTTTAGGCTAAACTCTGAAAGTTTATTTCTTTTCACTTTCAGCGTGTTGGGTTCCACTTTAACCGTGCAATGTTGATGAACGTAGGGTTTGTAGAGGCAGGAAAAATCGAGGATTACGACTGCTTTATTTTCCATGACGTAGACCTGATAGCGGAAAACGAGCTGAATATGTATAGTTGCCCCGCAAAGCCGAGGCACATGTCTGTCCTTATTGACAAGTTTAACTACAAGTAAGAGACATATAACACATAAATAGGAAGAAGTCACGGGTGAATACAAATAAGTAAGAGGGAGGTGGGGATTTTTTCTATTCTCCAGCTTTTACATGAACAAGAACGTTTAAGCTTGGATTTTACATTTGATTCTAAGAAAAGGAAAGAGATATATTATTAGAAAACTATCGGCGTAGAATTCGGAACTCTGTCATTTGTCTTCTTCGATTATAATTCATTTTGCTTTGTTTTCTTAAAAAGACGTTTTTGTCTCCATATTTCCAGACCTCAATACTCGTACATTTTTGGCGGTGTGACTGCGCTGACCAAAGAGCACATGCACAGGGTTAACGGCTACCCTAACCTCTACTTCGGTTGGGGCGGCGAGGACGATGATATGTCTGCAAGGTATTGATAAGCAAAAGTTCTATTTTATTGCAGCATGCTATGGCTATACAGCAAGCAGCAATGAACGTTAAAAATTTTCTAATTACCATTTACTCGTCCCTGTCTCCATGCTTCTACAAGTAGTCACTCTGGAAAACGCAGTACTTGTTAATTTTGATCATAGCCAAAATGCTTTCTTTTTCAAAAATTAATCTGAATAAATTAATGGAACGCATTGATTCCTTTTATATATGAAGTTATGTAGATCGACTTTGTTACCTATGTCGCCTTTTTCAAGCAGTCATTCTTCAAAACGTGATATATATTTGTAGACCAAGCGGATGCTTTTTCCTAAAGTGAATTTGAATTATTTAAAGGAATCAATAGATTTATTTTATGCGGGACACGATACAGTACCACAGAGCATTACATCGTTTGCATTACCTAAACAGCTTCACGTTTAAGCAATAATAAGTTATACTAATGAGGATACAATGACAGGCAAGATCCAGCGGGTTCGCTTTGTTTTTTGTACAGGCACGTAGTGCATATACACATATACCTGTATATGCATATACCTGTACATATCGCACATATCGTCACCACCTACCCTCTACCAGGGCGACAGATTGATTTTCTACAGATATTCACAGATTTGTCTCTAAATAAATAGACAGTCATTTTGGCCTGATGTCGCTTCAGCCAAAAATGTCCACAATAATAACTGCGATCCTGGTAGAGGGTAGGCACCACCCGCGTCTATCGGCGCCGTCGCCGTGCACTTTCAGAGATTGATGGATGTTCTTTAAGTACAGGTCGAGTTCGAAAAAAGGCTAAGTCGGACCATTTTTCCAAAAATTATGCTGTTTATTCTGTCAATACAAAAGAGACGATAAAAACACGCCTGAGGTGGGGGTAGTCTGAAACTGTTAATAATACATAACGATATAGTGCTTACATAATGGCTCATGCGCAGCTAGGAGTCTGTATTCAGTATTGAGTCCTTGGTGCAGCTTAGACCCGCCTCTTATTCAGCTAACACGTCATTTTATACGTGACCAAGTTAACAAGTATATTGAGGGCAAGAAAGTCTTGTTGCCATACATCTCTCGTTAGTATTGAAGTAAGAACTACCAGTACTTGGGGTGAAAATTATGTGAAAACCCACACCTTGGCATGTATGACCCTAATCCCCCCCCCCCTCCTCCTCAACACAGTTCCGGTTCCAGATCCCGTTTTATTTCCATTTTACTCTGTTCATGCTTTATCTGCTGTGTTTCTTAAATGGATAATTTTAAAGCTATGACCATATTGAACTTGTGCTGTTTATTTTAAGCTTCTTTATTTAGCTGTATTCATGCAATTGAATTGGGGCATAACTTTTATTACCGCAATAAGTATGAATATCATACACTTGAAAGAAATTAATCAATGTAGATCATTATGGTCTCAATATAATAGAATCGGTTCTTATCAACGAAAATCTGTTTATTAATTTTTTTCTTCTTAATTTTCAAGTAAGATATGCCTACATTAATGCCTGTTGTTTTCTTCCAGAATACGAAGTAAAGGCGCACCAGGGTTAAGTAGAGTTCCCGGAGAGATAGGAAGATATAAAATGATTAAACACAAGCGAGAAAAAAGTAACCCTGTAAATCCCCTTCGGTAAGTGATATATGCCATGTCTGCCAGTGGGAACCTCCTTTGTGCTCGACCGATACAGATATGTTTCCCTCCTCCAAGTGGAGGTTAGGCCCTATATGTTCTCACCCCCGTTTGTCTAAAGTCATGGATGAATTTCGATAAAATTTTCAGGATATCTAAGAAATGGTAAAAAAGATTTCCCATCCACCCTATTTGCACAGGGGTCGTTTGCGTATATTTATCATTATCTTTTCTGTCAAGCGTGCGTCATTAGCTCTGCCCTTTTTTGCTTCAACGCTCATTGCGATCGGACAACTAACACAATCAATAGCAGCGCGACCTGTTGATTGAGCTGCCTTGGCGGATGTCTATGAATAGGCTATCTAGTTGACTATAATTTTGTATATATGACCGTGTGCCCTTCTTGCACCCCACCGCCTCAAACGTAAACAACGGTATTACGTTGTAGCCGAAATGTAAAGCAACGTTTTGCGTTTTGACTTGATATAATTTGACGCTTGTTATAATTTATGCTTATCAAAAATGCAGTTGATTTTTGTTGGATCAGTGCAAGTGTGCATTTATTTGGAAGATTTTTATTCAGCATTTGCTATTTCATAGAAGACAATGCACACATAAGTATATCAAAGGCCAATGTTTTCTTCCAGCATTCTACATAAAAAGACATCAGCAAAATGACAAGTTTCACCTTTATTACAGGATTAAACTTTTAGCCACAGCCAAGACGAGGTTTTCAACCGATGGTTTAAACAGTCTGGCTGGGAAATACTCTGTGCTCAGAGTGGAACAACTTCCATTGTACACACGAATCGAAGTAGACCTGGATGAAAAGGGAATTTTTATGGTAATTAAGGGCTAATTTACAATGAAACTATCGTACTACGTAGATCGATCCAACTCCGCGGGGACTCTTGCTGAATGCAATCAGATTAGTGGGTCAACACGCCTCCTCTCGTTTGCCTCGCACCCGTATAATTACCAGGTTATTCTGTATTCTATTCAAAGCCAGGAGGAGGCGTGTTTTAAATTAAAATTTGTAAATCTTGCATTCACCAAGAGTCACCACGACGTTTGATCCATATACTTTGAACGACAGTTTCACTAGAAAAGAGCCTTAATTTTTAGAATTCAAACACGAGTACGTGTATAGATTTGATCACGAACTACCTTTGTGTTTTTTCTTTTTTTTTTTCCTCTCTTTTTCATCGTCTCTGCCTGCCTGTTTGTCAATCACCCACTTATATTAAAATTGTTTTTCGTCTACTTCCTGTTAAAAACCGCATTGATTACATATTTTGTTACATTTCAGCAAAAACAGGTGGAAAAGTTTCGAAACAATAGCTTTATACAAGGTGCTCTTAAGATGAACGAGACCTTCATAACCATGCCCTCAACTACCACGTCCACCACACCGAAGCCAACAACTACTACGCGATCAGTGCCACAGCAACTTCTGCATCTTATAAAGTCTGTTTTTAAATGACCTCTCAAGAGAAGACAAAGCTAAGAGAAACGCAAAGTGGCGAATGGCCTCTCAGGAGAAGACGAAGCTAAGAGAAGAGAGAAGCGGTGATATGTCTGTCACGTCCCTTCATCAGTCCACATGCAGCTTGGGCCACCTACTTAAGATGAATACTGAGGCAGACGTGGGTAACAAAGCCGGGGGTTGGTCTCACGACGCCGTCCCGCGCTGCAAATGCCAGCGAGACAGTTTAATCGTTAAAAAGCTTTATTTTTGAGAAAATCCGAAGGATTTCACGAAGTTGTTATTTACTTCTCTCCAAGGATTATGCCTAAAACGCTGTTATCTAGTAAATGACATTTTACTAGTTTGCTTTTGCTTGAGATGTGATACATTCGATGCAGCTCATAGACATTTTACAATCTGCAGGCTGTAATTATATAGAAGTAAGTCAATGTTTTTATAATTAAGGGTGAGAATTACTTACAAACGTGTAAGGGGCAACTTATGAAAGTCTACATTTACTACCTTTTTGTTTTATTTTGATCATAAATAAACAGAGAAAAAATAAATAAAAAATTATTCATGGCAATAATGGTTTGTCATTCTGGAGGATTGAGCTTACGAATAAAACCAAATTGGCAAAAAATGAGCAAAACAAATCGGGGCCAGTATTCCCCTGCTCAGACCCCTTCACAAAGATGACATCAACGTTTTTGCGACTGATTTATTCTATGTATTATACCAGCTCGAATCTGTACCATAATAACCACGACAAACTGGATACTGCGGCGTCACGTATCAAACTGGTGTCAACAGTAGTATCTCTTCAAGTTGTCTGTCATATGTCGTATTTGCCTTCCTTATCACACACTGCTAGTATCTACTGGAAGTACTGTCAAATGCGAGTGATAACATCTCCACGTTGACAATGTCACCAAAGCAGGGACAGTGAAGAGGGTGGGGGGGGGGGGGACCGCCATTTAAATTATTTTTCGATCATGCAACTTCGTAAGTGTGAAGTTGCTGGGACCGACAGCATATACCTTTCTAACAATCTAGATAGGAATTATTTTAGGATTGATCTACTCGGATTTCACCTAAAATCTAGAAATCCAAAGTGTTATTTGTGATTTTGCAAGCATGCTCGACAGTAAATGTACAGAAGGCAAAGGAGTGAGGAAATTCATACACTGATAAAGAATTCTTGTATAAATTTAAGTTTAATCCTTAATTTATAGGAGTTAAAACATCATCCATCGTCTTTGGAAAAAAAAACAGTAAGCAAAGGGAAAATGAACACAAAGGGGTTTATGCCAGAGCATGTGCTTGATCACCATCTATAAAGTAAATGAAATATGGGCCTCTTAAATGGCACTTAAATATTGACTGTTGTGACCTTGGACAAAAACGATGGGCCGTCTTTAAAGGTACATTTTAAGCCGAAAAAGCAAGCTAAGGTGTGTCACGAATGAACGGAGCTGAATGCTAATGCTTGACAATGAAGCTCATCCAGCAAAGCAGGGTGCTTTTTTTCACAACTTGGCACATGCACAAATAATAATAATAATAATAATAATAATAATAATAACAAAAGGAACTTTATCATATCATTATGCAATCGCAAGTGTTATATTTCATAAAGATTCATTTTATTTAACTCTTCTCTTTTCTTGTCGTCTGCTTTCGAAATGTTTTTCGTCTTGCTGTCACGTGGCGCGGCGTTGTCCTTGTGGACGGTCACGTGATACTGCAGGGCAACGGAATAAGTTGGGGGAGTGGAGCAGAAGTCGTTAAAATCGACAATTTCCAACCCGTCGTCGGTGACGTATGTGCCCTTGGCTGTTGGTTTCATTGGTACCATCTGTCCGGTGATCTTGTCCCCCTGTTTGGAGGTGGAGGTGACAGACGCGTTCCTTTGTACACCAGACAAAGTGTATTCCCCGGAATCGGCTGCCTGAAGATTCAAGGTGATGTTTGAAGTAATTCTCGTCTCCTCATCAGAGCTAGGTTCAGTCGCCACGCCAGTCTTCTTTTTTTCTTTACAGCAAAATAGCAGAACAAGGAAACCGCAGCAGCAGCAGGACAGCAGCACGGCGAAACCAGTGCTCACGGAGAAAATAATTAAGGTCGTTTCGTCTTCAAGAAAGTGGCCCTTGTCATCGGTCCCAATCCTCGCTTGGGCACTTTGGTTCGATTTCACCTCAGTGGTGATACGTTCACGAGGAGACTTAAATCCACTTGTTGTTCCTGTTTCTGCCGGCGTCACTTCTAAGACTTTGGTTTCGAAAGCCGTTGTTATTGAGGCGGCATCCGTTGTTGTCAAATCGCTTCCGCCCACAGCTGCAATTGTCAGGAAAATTAGGATTAAATATGTTGCTCGTGGATAGTTTTGTATCATGTTTATTTTGGAGCGATTTATGGCTACTGACTGACATGATCTGCAAAGCCACTCAGTTAATTTGGCATTTTAACAGAATCTATGCTAAACGAGCAGGCAATCGCACAGAAAAGTAAAAATGCCCTTAGCATTGTCACCGTTTATCATAATTATCGATATTTCACTCAATTGCAGTTGATGCTAATACTTGTTAACTTACTCCAAACACTAGAAATAATGCTATTTGTAAATTAGAAGTTAATTCTTTGGCAAATCTGACAATTTTTATATTGTGCAGCTGCAGTATGCGATTTTAGGGTTGTATAACCAAATTCTAACCTTGACAAAGAGCGCTGGAGATTTCACACACTATATCAGAAAGGGAATCAAAGTTCAGTACGCTAAATACGTGAGTGTCATTTGGTTTGCTGGCAATGGAAGCAAGTTCATTGAAGTCGACCATAGTAGTGTTTCCAATTCCTATGCAGTATATTTGTATTCCATCCTCCCGAATTAAATCTGCCTCGCGTATGGTTTGAGTTTTGTTGCTTGATTCACCGTCAGTGAGAAGAATAACCACTTTAGGCACATCATGTTCTCTATTGTTTTTATAATGTGCATTTCGCGGATTAAATAAACTCGTTCGAATATAAGATAATCCTTTATGCGTTTCGGTAGCACCGCCTTTGTGCACAATTTGCCTTATTCCTTCTGTAACGTTACCGTGGTCTTCTGTCCATCTAAAGGCGTCTCTGTAGCCATTGCTGAAGAGTGTTAATGCAACATGTGTTTGGGTTTTGCCGATGGTCAATGAGTCGGTGATGCTGTTCAAAAATCTAAGCATCTTTTTGAAACTGTTCTCATCAATACTGCTTGATTCGTCTACCAGGAAAGCGATATCACCTTCGCCATTTTCACAACTGCAGTTGAATGTGCCAGTTTGTGAATAACCACCTGAAATATGTATCTTAAAAATGAATATAATGCAATGATCTTACGAAAAAAAAAAGAAAGAAAAGGGCAACAGCATAAAGGGCATCATTAGTGATATAAACAGATGGAAACCTTTTGTTGAATTATAATCGATGAAAATTTTACTCTAGGCGTTTGTCATTCGAAAATCCATAAATCATCAAGACAGTATATTTCTTGAATGTAACTTGCAATAAGAAAACATATTTATTATTAATTTGTAATAGTAAACTTACCTGCGTAACAGGAAACATGAAAGCACCAAAATGCAACAATAAGATACCACGGCTTCATTTTGTCAGCCCAGTGCTGTCAAACACCCAAAGCCGCAAATAAATCTTAAATTTGTGATTTGTTTCGTCACCATATCGGCTTTTATAGCAGTATAATCATACAAACGCTCGTTATGGGCCCATCACCCCGAGATTCAGAAAGCTGACGTTGACTTTATTAATATTAATATAATTACATATCCACAGGACCCCAGTGTTAATTGTTCAGTGGTCAAGTTCTAATAAATTAACAATGTGGTAAAATAGTATCACAATTAAAAACATTTAGATTGTTTAAAAGCACCAGAAATGCCGTTAATGCTATCGTGTTTTAAATGAGGTTGCAGATAACATTTTAACAACTTGAAGATGCAGTTTTTTTTCAAAAGGATATTGGATAAACTTCAACAAGCGTCATTGTGAGTGATATTTTCGAGAAAAAACCTAAGAGCCACGGTCAATTACATGAACATGCGACATACAGGGTATTGTACGTAACTCAATCACAGCGATAAAACCAATCACAAACGGAGGCTATAACCGAGCCAGCGACAGGTGATAAGTTTGTATATTGGGCTGGGAAACCACAAGTTGGTCTTCCACGGTGAGTGGACGGTATCAAGGGTCCGTGCTGAACTTAGTTTTGGGTGCACTTGAATCTGTTTTGCTTATTTCGCATACGTTGTATTACTAGTTACTAGTTACTTTTTGTATTCCATATGCTGTAGCGCGAATTGTACCACATCAGAGGCAATATACAGTGTGAGAGTGTAAAATGGCAATAATAAAATGTCGAAAAACATATTATTTTAAGGTCTGAAAAACTGTCACGAAGAGCCGCCCACAATAAATTTATCTTGCTACCGATGTTTTCTGTTTCATACCATGGCACATAACTACTTTGCATATTCTCTTTATCAAAATACTTGTAATTAATCAAATGTCCTGCGAAAATTTGGCCCATGTAACGCTCACTTACGGTTCTCTATCTGTCTTTGAACATAATGTCTTTCTCTTTTACTGAAAAATGTTCTTAATCTGTCCTAGGACATTCTGAAGGACTTCCCAAAAACAGTTCTCGATTTTTTTACATCCATTACAGAACAACATTAGAACTGTAAAAAAATACACCAAATGTTCTAGAATAGATTGAGAACTGAACGTTAAATGAGACAAATTTTCGCATGGGACGTTTCATATGGAGCATACGTGTATGATAACTTGTCCTTAAAAGCAACACATGGGTTAAAACACGAGACAACAATTATCTACTCCAGTATCAAACACAAACCTTTTGAGTCCAAGGTTAATCAGATGGGGCTTATCTCTTCACGTGAACAGAGAAAGACAAAGCAGTATTATCAACACTTAAATTTTATCAAGACTAATTCATGTGAACTGTTTTAACATAATAAGCTAACATGCGTGAGTTATATTCACTTCTGTTTTAGAAGCACATTTTGACGCGTTTTCCCTGAACGAAAGGTTTGTTTACGCTATACAGATAACAACATTTAGTTTCTAATGCTCACTCACAGATACGTAAAGTGATAATATATCGGTAAGGTGAACACGTACAGATCACCATCTCAAAGCAAATAACGATAAGATAAGTTTAACATTTCTCTTCCATGCTTGATTTATTCACTGCGTTTTTAAAGATGGCCACAAAGAAAAAAGAAACATTACTCTAAGTTTAATCTCTATTGGTGATATTTCATCGGGATTTTTTTTCATTTTTGTTTTGCAGTCGTCAGGAATGAGCATTAAAATACAGCCTATTTTGAAAAGAAATGGTCTTGCAGTGCTGAATTATGTAATTTTATCCAGTTTTGAAGTCAAAACATCAAGTTTTTGGCAGCAACCGAATCTCTGTAATTCCAAGATGGCCGCTGAGTATGATGGCGATGGTTTCTTCTATTGGATGTGAATGTAACTTCGCTCTTGAGCGCGACAGA